ATATCGAGGAGAGATGAAAAGATGCTCGAGTGTCGATCGACGAGTGGCACTCCGGCTGGTTCGAGCCCTGGTCCAATCGTTCGAATTGCGCGTCGGAATAAAGGTTCTCTTCGTGGAAGATGGAACGATATCGAACATGAAAAACCGATCGATTCGCTGGTAAACGTTCCGGGGATCGGTGATTCCGACCACGCGGTTACATTTGTCATCTTCGATTCTTTCTATCTCGACCCAAATACGAATGGAAATTTCGCTCCTCTACCAGATATCGAACGGCATTTTTCGTCGGTTAGAATTCGCCCGCTGTTGTCTGCACCGAGGCGAATTAACCTTTCCGTGTGAAATATGGTATCGGACAAATACGATATTTTATTCAATTGCTAAATCAATCGACGTAAAAAAAATTGCGGGCGATAGTGAAAATTTGGAGAAAACAGTTCGAAACTTATTTCGATATTTTTATCTCAAAGGCTCATTAACTCCTTATTTTCCCCAACCTGATGTGCCAAATAAGATGAATTTTGTCTTTCTTTTAATTATTTTCGTAGGCGTATAGAACTCACATTTTTCCCCATAGCAGAAAGGATAACGCAATACGGAAAGTGAGAGAAAATATTGATGTTTGACTTAATAATAACATTTTGAAAAAGTGCACTGCAAGTCACGGGCACGAACGTCAAACGAAGAACTGAACATTCCACCGATTGCAAGTGAATTCCACACGGACCAAACACCTGAAACTCGTCGTTGTTAAAAAGTGACACGGGGAAACGGAAAAATTACCATCCCAATTCCCCGCGTACCTGCACATCGTGGAATCCATTCATCCCCCTTGGAGTGCAATGCGCGAAAAATCGATGCCCCTTTCATCTCCACCTTAATCCCCGGTCCGTACAATTCACCGATTCACCGTGGATGCAATTGCTCGGTCGCGAAAAGGCGCGAGCTCCGGCGAGAGAAACGCGTCTGGGGTGCAGTCGAGCCGATGAACAATCGGTCCCTTGGTGACGCGTTGGGTGCTCACATAAAGCGACCAAGGTGTAATAAAACGAAGGGGGAAAAAAACGCGGCGAAACAAGAGGGGAATCACGGAGAAACGAGGGAAAACCGATGTCGCTGGCCGAATCGATTAAACATATTCCAGCTGCGACGGGATTTGAATTGCCGGTCTGGGACAGAAACGCAAACTTTCGATGCTGCATTCCCGCCGAATAATAACGGCGAATTATTTGTTCCTTGGCGAGGGAGGGAGAGGAAAACTGCTGGAGAATACAACCAGGATTATTGTAAAATAGAGTAGACGGTGGGAATTCTGTGCTGGCCAGACTTGGCACGCTAAACCCGGATTTTCATCTTCCGCTCTTGCCAGGGAAATATTGAAAAGATACGTGAATTCGTTTGAAAGATTCCAAGACTTGAAAATTTCTCATTCTGAATACATTTTCCGTTCGGATGAATCTCGGAAATTTTTCTCCGTGCGAGAACTTGCCGAAGAGACGTGAATCCATTTCATGAATAATTAAACACAGTTTAGACGTAGGAACTGTTCTAAACTTGTGTAGAATATCTAACAACGACGTTATTTTTATTGTTATTACTTCAACTCTTCGCGGTCCAGATAGTCCACTTGGTCCGCGTTCGTTTGGTCGCTCTCGGACAGTACCGTGTAGTTTCCCTTTATTTCAATAGTTACAAAGTACCAAGTTTCGGTATAACATTAGTGCGCAAAAAATGGTTTATTATTTATTTTTTAATTGCACATTCGTAGGTGACATCGTAGATTCTCCAGGATCGGTTCGCGAGGGACCGATATCTCCTCGACGTGCTAATCACCAATCTGGATAGAAGAAAGGAAGAGACCCCGGGTAGAAATGAAGATATAAAAATTCATAGGATATCCCATCGTCGATTCTATGAATTTTTATGAGCAACGCTCTAAGACAATCCGTTCTACCCGAGGCGGAATCAAAACGTTTGACGGAGGGAACGCGTTGAATTTAATTGCGGGTAGCGGCCGATTATCCGGGAAGCCTGGTAACTCGTCGTTAATTGGATTCGACAAGGGGGCGGCAAATTGAATTAGCAGACGATTCCCGGTTATTTACCTGTGCGTCGAACAATTCCCCGTCGAAAGCGTACGGCCGAAGCGTTTCGCTGTTAACAATGGAACGGGTCTCAGACGTTCTCGAAAAGCGTCAAGCAGAACGTCAAACACTCCCGTTCGACGCTTTCTTTCCTACACTTTCGAAAAACCGTCTGACGATTACTCGGCCAGCTTCTCGAGACGATGGAAGGGCAACAGTTCGATGGTCGCGTTCCCCCCAAAAATTTCCCGAGTCGCTCTTTTTTAATGGGACGCGCAATTAACGACAAGCATCGCGTGGCTTTGTCCGCGCAACAGACGCGAGAAAGAATCGTTCTCAAGAGTGTTTCCTCGTTGGTTGCAAAGGAGAAAAAGACCTTCGGAGGAAATGTGCTGGGACCTTTCCCAGGATGATGTGTAATTAAAGAACGACAACGAGACATCGTTGCGCAATTCTTTTCCACAATCTTTTTGTCGCGTAATCTCTGACTTATCTTGATCGATTTTTTTCAAACTTTCATTAACGAAGGAAGATTGAAAGTGTTTTTTAGTTTCCTGGGACGATAAGCTACCACCGTAACCCTTTTGCGACCTGTGGAACAAATTGTTAGAAGAAAGAATTCAGTCGCGAAAGGGTTAAACGGACCTACGACGATTTGACGTTTTTTCGTCGAGCATTGGTACTTCGAAATTTATCATTTTCTCAATGTATTCGATACCGAGGAACGAGGAGAGGTGATTTCTCGAATAGGTTCGAAGGTTCCGCTAGGCGCAGAAGCGTTCGTGGAAAAGTGTAGATAAGGTTCGGTTGATAAGCCTGACGACAGACGGCCCCCGCTAAATTGTCACGTTTCTTCGTACAGGTAGGGCGATAAACGGCCGGCAACGGGTCTCATTGCCTCGCATTACGGCCCGTTATCGTCCCGCTGTGTCGCGCGAGAAATGAACTACACCCAGCCATTTCTCTCCCTACGTCGCGCCCTGAATTTTTCCCAAATAGTTTTCCCCCGTCGATCTTCCTTTTTTTCGCTCATACATACAAGCCGGGCGCGGTCCTTTTTCACGGCTAAAAAATTCCACCCGGCAATTCCACTCCATCGTTTCCCGTTGGTATACATATATGCGCGAAACAAGAACACGGAGGAATCGGTGCGCTCGTTACGCGCGCAACTCGATTTACAGGGCGCGTGTGTGTGCGCGTTGACTGGGTGGCCGAGTGTACGATTAAAAATTGTTCCTTTTTTCACCCTCAACGAAAATGTTTGCACGACCCGTGAAAAAGTGCAACAACGTTCACCGGAGCGCGAGTCGAGAGGGCGAAACCCATGTTTCGACCGTCCGGCGTTCTTGTTCCAATTTAACTAACAACGGGGACACGAACGTACGAGAAGGGAAGTCGAAGAGGAGACGGCGAGCTGCCTCCTCTCTCGGTATAGGTCAGTTACACAATAAGACTCGGTGGCTCGGTTAAAATTAGTCGGCGAGTATTTAAAAAAGTAAACCGAGTGCAGCGGAGGCCGTTGTCCGAGCTGTGTACCATCCTTTTCGTACCCTATCAACAAACTCCGGCTTTCCTGGTCGCCAATCTATCGATCAGGATTGGTAGAAAGATATTTTTCTTTTTTAGAAGTGTTTGCAGTACGGGACCTATATGTTAGGTTGGCATGGTATCACCTGACGATTCGATAAAGTTTCGATACTTTACATTTCAATTTACAATTCTTATATCTTTTACGATATATTCGAAAGAATATTATCGATGGATAGGTAAGATTCTCCTGATTAAAACGAGCCCCAACACGATCCCGTTCGGACTACTTTTCCTCCACAGGTTTCTGTAGATCCAAAGAGCAAGGTACACCCGGTATAAGGCTTTTGGTTAAAAATAGGTCGAATATGGTCGTGTTTGGGCTCATTTTCACCAGGAGAATCCCACCCGTCGATCGGCAGTACTCTCGTAAACGTGTAACGAAAAATAACAAAAGTTTTAACTGTACTGTTATCGCGCGTCCAATATTCGCGCTACTGGTCCGTTCACGTGGCTTCCAGTTAGTTTAATAATCATGACGTGGCGCGTACACGTGCAAAAAATCGATTTTAATTAAAATGCAATTTATTAGAGTAGTCGTCGAGGACGGAGGCCACGCAATTATTTAAATTAGTGGTCCGAGGTATTTTTCGAATCAATATCGCGCACCGAGGTACGGTGATTTCGCGAGCGTCGGCCGCATTAACGAGCACAGGCAAACATTCGATGCAATTGGCTTTTTCGCCATTCAACGTTACGTACACTGTCTACAGAAAGTTTCGAACAAAAGTACGACTCTCGAGAAGGTCGACCCGAAGAAAGGTGGAAAAATTCGTTTGTAAATTCTTCGTTTAATCGCTGTAAAGCTGAAGCAATTTTTATTACGCGAAATACAGCGTGTATCGAATATACGGCTGTTTAATTATTTCCTCGATGTGTAATTAATGTACACGTTCGAATTAACGTTAACGTATGTACGCTTGCGATTGAACTTAAAGTTACGTGGAGCGTGTAATCGTGGTTGGTACACAAATTGTATAATCCCTTTGTTGATTACACGTAACGAAATACGAAGTGCAGAGTTGCGAGTATTAAATTAAATTAGTCCAAAGGCGAAACGAATGTTACTGTTTAGCTAATGGAAAGCCTGTTAAACGATAATCGCATGATAACTATGCTCGTTCTACCGAAAGATAGTCGAGGCTTGAATTGTAGGTGCCAGCACTATATGAATGAGTTCCGTTCGTTTCCTACTGCGGAGAATGTCGTCGCTGCGGAACTGGCAGTCGATAAAAAACCAGTTTTATGAATGACAAAAATCGACTCCTGCGTTACTATTTTGGCGCTGTGCGTACGGTACACGTGTTCTGATAGTATGCAACATGAGTTTGTTAAGTAGTATGTTTACACCGCAGGAAATAAAGAAACAATTAAAAGAGTTGTTAGTACTGAAACGTAGCGGGGAATTGGATAGCGAGGAGAAGATTTTCAATTCGAACGATGAATATTGGAGAGATTCTGTGACCTATAGTTGCTTGGAACACTATGTGTATCATCACGACGAAGAAGTATTAATTTGTAAAATACATCTTTTCTAGAAAATCTAGATCTCTGTGTTATAATTTAACGATCGTTTCAGATTAAATTAAATACACTTGCTCTTGTGGTTGAGTCTAGAAAGAGCACTCTGAAATTTAAATCTAAGGAACTTGATATAGTTGTCTTATTTTTGCAAGTGAATTTTAAGGAAAAACTCGAATTTGTGCCTCTGATAAAAAAGGTAAGATCGTCGTAATTGAGACTTGAGCTTTCTGTCACTTACAACATCTTTTTCTGTAGGCTTTAAAGCGTATGAAAGACAGCTTGGCTGTCGTGAGAAGGCAATGTATGCAAGAAGAAAAAATCAGGGATAATTACAAGAAAACTTGCAGCCCATCAGAAGTGAAACAGGAAATATTAGATGCATCTTACAAAATATCCTCCATTCTTCAGAATGAGATAGACATGTATTGCAATGTTTTTCAATCTATCCGTAACATGTGCATATGCAGTCCAGATGCAACATACAACAGAAGGAAATCTTCTCTGCAGATATTACTCTTGATGAAAGACTTTTTAGATAATGAATTCAAACATATCTGTTGGAAGGCTGAACAAGTGGAAGCATTGTTCGATCTAATGTTACTAGACACGTATGAAGGGAACAAAGAAATGGCATTTAACTTGATAAAGTCAGTAGAGCCAAGTTTACTACAGTTAGATAATGAAAGTCGTGTTTGTGATATTATCACTGTTGCTATTGAATTAGGTAACAGAATTAGACCTATTGATAGTATCACAGCAGCTAGCATGCTTAAAGTCAGCATGCTGTCACCTATTGTAAAGAATGTACTTGAAAACCAATTGGGTATAACAAGGTGCTCTGAAGATATAACAGAAGCACCTCTGTTGCAATTGATACTAATTTTGCTAGAAAAATTAAAGGTATCTGGGTCTGTGTGTATATTGCAATCATTGTATAAAGATAGCTATATGAATTATTTTTGCAGGAATCTTTGACTCTTGCAAAACAGAATATAGTGAAGACTGTTACAAAACATTCCTTGTATGGATATCTATTTTGCATCCGAAATTTGCTACAGGAATGCAATTTGAAGAGTGTGGAGAAAGAGCAATTATGGCAAAACACTATAGCAGAATTGATTTCTGCATGTTTTCAGTTCAGCCATGCAGTTTCATTGATAGTAAATAATTCTTCACCAGAAGGACATTTACCAATGGACCTGAATATAAAAACTATCAATGAAATATGCGATTCGGTACCTGAAAAACAAATAGTAACTCCACAAATGGTTTTACTTTGTTCTTGGCGTACTATAAAGGAAGTTAGCTTATTATTTGGTTTACTCGCCACCGAGGCGCCGATATGCGAAGATAATCCGTCTGTAGGACTCTTAAATGAAGAACAAGTAAAATTTCACGATTTATAATTCGAGATTTAAAATCAAAAGTAAGAAGCAAACGAGTCATATTGATTTTTTAACAGATTATCAGAATAGGAGAACACTTGGTCTCGTTGCTTACTGAAACAAAGCACAGAGGAGCATTCGAACAGGCACACATAGGATTCAATCAACTATGTACTCGTTTATGGCGCCTAAATAAAACGAGCTTAAATCAATTGCCTAAATTATGGTTACATCAGATCATGACTGCCATTACAGGAATTAAAGAGAATTCGAAATTATGTGCAACTAGAAGAAGTGCAGGTGTACCATTTATGATACAGGTAAAGAAGATCAAGTGATTTGTACATTTTTTTTTTTTAAAAACGAATCATAAAAATTTCACTTAACAGGCTTTACTATCTACAGAACCTCGCCAACATAAAGATACAAAGACCACAACTTTTGATTGTGTGATGAAAATTTTGTTAGGACTCACACAATTGGAAAGCGAAAATGTGTGGGATGAAGTGAAAGAATTGATGTACTCTAATTCAGTATTTACAGAATACAAGAATTTATGTACACCATTGAATGCTCAAGTCACAGAAATTAAGACACATGCTCTGAATGTCTTAAGAGGAATTTTTAGGCATTCACATCTTGCAGAAGTAGTAAATAACTATGTTGAAGATGGTTTAATAGCGGCGTTTAAGAGCTACGATGCTTCAACATGGGCGGTGAGCCATTCAAAATATTTACAATTGTTTTGCACGGTACAAAAACGAGATAAATTCTTTGTCCTTATTTTTACAGGAAAGAAACGCGGCAACCTTACTTTTCAGTGCACTTATCATCAGAATATTTGGTGTTCAACGAACGAAAGACCATATTAATCTTACTACAGACAATAAAATGAATTATAGAGTGTTCTTTGAAAAGTATCCTAATCTATTGCTATTCATTTTGGAGGAATTGCAAACATTTGTGGGAATGGAAGATACTCTTATAAAGTCAAACGTGCAATCGATTTTATTACTATTATCACGGTTGTATCAAAGCCATAATTCTGAACCTAGCGATGTTCCATTGAAAGTTCATAGCAATGATCTTATACATTTAGTCATACAATGTGGAAAAAGTGCTATATTCGAAACACGTAAATTAGCAGCCAGAGCACTTGTACCTTTGTTGACAGAAGACTCTGTAGGTTGTACTCTAAAAAAAGTAGTTGAAAACATAATGTTTGCACAAGAGAATCGTTTGACCTTAAACTTAGTACATGGCTATATGTTACAAGTAAATATTGATTTAAATAAACTCTCTTTTTTTAAATATTCACAATATTTTAAAGTATCGTTTCTTATATTTTTCTTAGGTACATGAGATACTAAAATATTTTAACTTCAAGTCATTTGAATCTCTCGACATAGGTTGGAATGAATTTTTTAAAAAGACAATTTGGATGTTAGAAAATTTAGAGCAAAGAAATTCCAAGCCTCCATGTTTTTTATTGGCTGAAGTTTATGTGAAAGTTTGCAGTGAAATATGCAAAACAGATAAAACGTAAGAAAATTAGAAATATTGTGAAAAATTGAAGAATTTGATAATTATTTAAATTGCAGATACTTGATGCAACAATGTTCAACATTAAATATGCTCGTTTCACATTTATTACATGAAAAATTAAAACAGGGACCTGCACGAGAATTGTATAAATTATCAGCCATGGAATTCGTTCGATCGATAGCGAGGGAAACTTCACTAATTCATCAGTGCATATTAATTAAAATATATCTGCATAATTTAACAGTTTCTGAAACGCAAATTATTGCGTGGTCGAATGTTATAGAGATCATTAATGAAGTAAAATACAACGACGTATCGGTGTCGTTATTAGATTATGCTGCAGATCAAATCCGTGACTCGATAGAATATTTTCATACGTATAGTCCTGAATTACAAGATGCAATATTCGATTTTCTATACAACAGTTTAATATACCTCGATCAGATTGAATCGTCCGATGTCACGAGAAAAATTGACATTTGCAAATTTGTGCTGAATAACATACGATTAAATGATAATAAACATTTTTATTACGAAAGAGATTGTTATCGAAGATTATTGGGGAAATCATACGTGACTTTATCATCTTTACAACAGAACGAGGGAAAAATTAGTTTGGAGTGTACATGTGACGTGCTTTATTACCTTTGTGATTACCTATGGATCGCAACTTTAAGTGGAGATTTTAGAAGATCTGTATTTGAAATTATGCAAGACCTATTCCTAGCCTGCTACAAACGTGACGACGATCAACGTAAGTTGCGAAATTTTATTAAAACTTTATCTAAAAAGCTAATTAAATATGTCACAGATGTTAAGGTTCAATGGTGGAGCACAGTGTTGCAATTATTACTAGATAATAATCGTAACGTACGACACGAGGCATTTTTGTTAATCGATCATGTTCCAGTACATTGTACTTTGTCCAATAATGTTTCCCATCTGAATTTGTTACTCTCGAAATTCTACGAATGGAATGTACGTAGCAAAAATCCCGAATTTATGTGTGTTGCAATTTTTTATTGGAGCATAGCACTCTTGTGCTATGACACAGACTACGAAATGGACGATACAGATGTAAGTAATTATTCGAAGCAGATAGGTTTATGTAAAATATCGTAAAGTACAACGTTCGTTTAATTCAAGGTGTTCAATAAATGCATAAATTACGATTTCTTTGAGCCTGTAGAGGTGTCAAAGACGTGTGCAGAATTTATAATAAAAAATATGAAACGTCATATAGACGTTGTATTAGGAGACGACGCGATAGATTGGATAAATGCTATTTTAAATGTCGAATTTCAAACATCTATCACTTTTCGAACGCTCGTAAAAAGTTACGAAATCTACGTTCCCGCCATTGAGAATAAACTGCAGGATATTTTAAACCCGACGTATAAAAGCAAACTGTTGCAAGTTTTAGCATACAAAGAATATAAAAAGATATTTTGAAATGTATTTATGGTACATCCGTCTAGAATAAATTAAATTTTTTATACAAAATATGACTTTCATTTGTGTATTCAGCGAAGCGTAAATACGAACGATTCATACAAGTGTCTTTTAATTGCTGAAAAATAATCTAGAGAGGAAATGAACTACGGAAAATGAATAATCTATAGAAAAAGAGGTTGCTCGTGAAAGAATCTTACCGAGGGTAGATTCTGCTTTTCAAAGTTGCACGACACCGTTATTTACTTTCACGAGCACTGGAAACAGACGTCTCGTTAAATTTGAAAAGGAATACGGTCGAGGAGTGGTGGTAAGCGTTGATTGGGGGAATATCCCCAGTGTCGGTGGCTAGAGAATTTAGTTGAACCGCTTGGCGCCGGTAGTCGCCACTGTTGCGGCCCGACGTTCGCCGACTCGGTACGTATTTCGTGACGTTATACCGCGGATCCGTCGGATTTTCGCGTTTTTCGCGCCTCTGCGTCGTGACCGTCGAGTATTAGTGTGCGCCGACGATCTTTATCTGCGTTGAACGAGGGCCAGCATGTCCACGAGTGTTCGGACAGATTAAAACCGAGGGAAAAGCAGCCGAGAAGACGGTGGCCGTGCGTGTACCAGGCATGGAGTGGACTCAGTGCGCTCGTTTCAAATCGTTACGAGCCGTTACCGCAGTTCCAGTCAAACCGAGGTGAGTTCTGCCGTACGTAAACACGCGTGATCGCGTTCCACGAATGTCGTTTCACTTTCGTGTCGAACTGTTATATCGTCCCCATGGGGATCCTGTGGTAAGTTGGTGTTCCCTAACGCGTATGACCTACTTGTTGTGCAAGCTGTCATCCCTCGATTAGAATATTTCTATTCGTGGGACGAACTGTCCTACGAGAACGAACCCTTCTCTGGTCTGGTGCCGCTAGTGCCACTCGACAGCCTTTCTCGGCTAGGTTTTCACGCGAAAAAACACCGGTGGAGAAAGGAGAGGCAGAGAGAACGGGGAAGGAGCGTGAAACGGAAAGATCAAGCGAGAGCAGCGGCGAGAACAAGTTTGAAAACTAGCACTGCCAGTTCGTTGAACATCTGCGATTCCTAAAGTGCGTCCTTCCAAACACGGAATGTTAAATAGCCTTCGCGCTTGATCAACTAACGGAGTCTTCTCGAATGATCTCTCTTGACCTGTCTCTCTTTCTCTCTCTCGTCTCTCCTACTTCTCACTCTCTCTCACTCTCTCTCTCTCTCTTTCTCTCTTTCTCCTCGAGGAGAAAGGTCATCGGTCTCAAATTCATCTTTTGTCCACGCCTTAGGCACACCAGTAGTAATGCGCTACGACATATTTTCCGTTGGCTGAAACTCGTTTTAAATTACCATAAGTAGTTCGATACCTCTTGCCCCGATACGCCCGATTCTTTTTCGTAATCGGTCGAATTTCTCAATGTCAAGTTGACTACCCGTTACATCCTGTCGTGTCCGATTTGACCACGGCTTCCCGTGTGTCTGCTGCTGGCTCTCCGTACGTTCGTTTCGTGGACAGGAAAAGCTACTAATCCGTTTCTCCTTTTAATAACCTTCGTGACATTTTTAACCATTCACAGCGTTCATTACGTAGGACGGCGGAACGTTCCGTGATAGGGAACGATTTTCGTCGGCTAAACGCGTTACGTGTTATAACGCGCATTTACATCTCGTAATAATAAGCAAAAGTAAGAACTATAATGTTTTCCATTAACGGTTTTTCTCGTAACGTAAATTAACCGACAATTTTTTTTGAATTTGTACATTTGAAAAAGTAACGGTTTTTTCCGGGGGGCTGACGACTGTCAGGGGAACGTGTTTATTAGAAAAACGAGGTGTTTTTGGCGCGTCTTTACGAAGGACGCTCGGAGTCGTTCATCGCGACGTTCGTTTTTCAAACGTTGTCCACGGGGATTACGTAGGTAGAACATTTCATAACGAGATCATTTACATTGTTCCGCTTACCTGGCGCTTTTAATAAATGACGATAAGGAAAACGACAGCACATTTCGTATAGTCTACCATTTGCATTCTTCCTGCATTTTCTCCTTTTTCTCTGGCTGTCCCACTAGGGAGAAGGTATATATACATATGTTCACTTCCTACGAAATTACGCGTATTAACTCTTTCTGCGGAACGCACTCGAATCGTTTCAATAGAAACGAACCCGTTGCCTGTCAACGAATGAGATTCAATTACGAGGTCCGTTCTTTTTTGTAGACCGTAGTAACCAGTAATTATGATTTATGACGCACGAGTGATGGAAAGGTGTAATTTCGTAAGGTATTTTTCGGTCGTACATTTTAATCACGACACGGTAAATATCGCGAAGAGTATGTACTAGACGCAAACTCATAAAAACTACCCCCACCAGTAGCGCCAACTGCTGCATATTTCATGCGTTAGAAAAACACGCAACGAATCGGTAGAAGGTTTAATTCCTTCTCTCGGTATATTTTCGTTTCCATTATCACGACACGCATTAAACATTGTACGATACGGTCTCGCGTCGCATCGGAAGTGCAGCCAACCTTTTTCTTCTTTTTCACGTTTAATTCCACGATCGCGGGAAACAATTGGCCGTTCAGAGAGCAGGAAAAGGTCGGATATACAACTCACGTGTCCGGGGTCTATTTGTTTTATCAAGCCTGCAGCGGCAACCTGCTCCCGCATTATTTTGACAATAACGCCGGACGACCACGCGAACCAGGCACAACTATATAGGTAATTTATGCAAAATGCAAGCAGCGCGCTCGCCTACGGGTGCACTCCGTGAGCGGCGCCCATTACATTATAACAAAACAATATCTAACGACTGTAATTGACCGTAACTGCGGACAATAAAAAAATTAGAACAAATCGAATTACGCAGGACGCGCGAATTTACATGTATCACGCCTTTCACCCTCCGTTTCGATTATCTACCGCATCCGTGTGTTTGTTAAATAAAATAATTGTTGTCCAAGGGAATTCGTCGCATGTTCCGCTGTAGCAATTTTTCGGTCGTTTTTAATTATAAAACCCATCCCACGATACACATTGTTAACCAACATTCATTTATCACGTCCATTATCGACGACGTCTATTTTCTGGCGCCATGATTTTTATCGACGATCTAACAATTTCATTGGTCTATTACCGTATCCTACTTTCTGATTGGTCAGTTGGCAATTTGGCGGTAAAATCTATCGATAATTCTCGTTTCCCGCGTTTTTTGCGATTCATATGACGTGTTCAATCGAGAAATTCGATTTTCGCGATGCGCAGAACGGTTGCGCGTTACACGGAAACTGTGACGGGACGGTTTCGCTTTAGTTTCGGTTCGGTGGCAATCAAACGCGTTAATTTCCCATGGTCGACGCGACGAGTGCCGTTTATAATCCGGCTTTCGGATTATAGTCGAGCGGACGAAAGTTCGCGTTCGCTTTCCGCCTTCCGGTCGGCTTTCGAACCGTTCGAGCCTGCTTTCCGATTTTACGACAGTACAGTGCCGCGCGTTTTATCTCCGGCCATTGAACCTCCTCTCTACTTCAGAGAACACAGTGGGTCTATGCACGAAGTTGTTTTTCCTCCCCTTTTTTTTCTGCGATGGTGCGCGATGCTCGACTGGATTCGTAAATATTATTACGCCTGCCCTTTACGAAACGTTGGCGAGGAGCGCTACGTCGTAACCTAACCCCACAAGGTAAGATTTTTTGCGTCTTGTTGCGACTGAAGTAACGTTTTCGAAGTTTCTCGATTCGAATAGAAATATCAAGCGTCGAATTCGTATCACACCGGTGATTTAACTCTTCGTGCTTTGCGTAAAGTGTTAAAACGTATTGCTGTACCATTGAAATAAAACCGTATCGCGAACGTTGCTTTTTTACCGCGCGTGTATCTGGTTACGGAAATTCAGCCATTGTTACCAAACAATGGAATATTCCGGCGGGCAAGAAGAAAAACCGGGCATGTTCGTTACGATAGACGGAAGAGTGGAATCGGTACGTGACAGATATCTCATGGGACGTGTTCAAATTCCAACGGATGATTCACGAGAACGTGAATATAAGAAAACGTAGATGGAATTTTTGTTTGGAAGCCGGGATTAGTCTAGTACGTATTGAAATTCGATACCTATCCTCTATCCAGGGAGAAATTTTCGACGGGTAGCGCTGCGATCGATCGTGCATTCCCATGGATCGTCGATTCTCTCTTAACCTCTCAATGCTCTCGTGAAATTCATTTTCTACAGGAAAATCTGACCCTACCTAACTAGAAACCCGATATCCATGCTCTTGTTTCGCGTCTAACCCACGAACGAAAACGTCGCGTATATTGTTCGCATCGTCTCGTCTAATCGACTTACGTAAGTGGGTCTCTTTACCTGCACCGGAAACGCTTGAGCGCCTGCTTAACGATTATTAATGTCCCTTAATGGCGCTTAGCCGGTTCGGTAGCCGGATCACGCCGATTAACTCTGGTAATTGTTCCCACTGTTTGACTTCGTTTGATCCCTCGGCTTGTTACAATTTTCTGTATCTCTGTACGTAACTCGAGAATGGCATTATACACGGTGGTCGGTAACGTAGAATACTAATTTAGAATTTTCGATTAGAAAAATATTTGACTGAAAATCCAAAGAAATTCTACAACGACGACATAGGTCTTACCTTACTTCAAATCAAATTCAAGGGTTCGTTGGAAATACATAATTTAAATTATAAAATTCCACAGGAAGTTATAGGATGACCAGATAAAACTATCTGTAGATTTCGAATGTTCCATTTTAGTTCTCGACTACTTTCGATTAATCATCGGAGAGTTTTCAGGATACTTTACTAGCATTACCATTTCTATTCGATTCTCGAGTAACCGTTCCAACGAGAGCAGCAATGGTTAACGCGTGCAATTTACGAGCTGTCGCCCGTAGTTCCGTCCCAGTGATACAGTTCGGAAGTAAACACGTATCCTTATGACTCATGTTCCCGTTTAACAGCGCTGCGTGCCAAGACCGT